CGAAAAGCATACCATCAAAAGCTCATATGCATCTGAATCCCTTCTAGAGACATTGACTCAGGAGAGTTTATACCATAAATGGGTCTAGGGAGCAAACTCTAAGAACGAGATTCTAGAATTGGATCACCCACCAGCCAACTGGCAATCAAGACTCCATCATTAGGGGGAGATGAAGTATAGATAGCCCCGGCCTGCAGCAGCATTGCAAACATGAACATTTTCGCTGTCTGGTAAACTGCCATGAAACATAGATGGAAGAAGATGCATTAGCTAGTGAAATATCTCTGACATTTGAGAGCTACAGTGGAAATAGCAACAAAAAAGGATTGTGAAGTTGGGTGACTGAGTACTGTTGATGCAAGCTCAGTGCCCCTTAGCTGCAAATGCAAGTTCAAGGAAATAAATAAATGTGAAATCCAGGAGGCCCCCCTTTTAGTATTTAAAGAAACTCTTAGCTAGCTTGGAGTTTAATTATCTGAAGGACCAGGGTCAGGATATAATCATAAAATAATAGTAAAACCTCAGTAAAAAAATAAATTCTTAGCCCTGGCAAGTCTCTGCTAAAAGGAATGTTACGGAAGGAGTGGCGCCTTTAGACTTGGCATTAGGGTATCTGAGCAGATGCACTACAGAACCTCGAACTCCAGATTTCCCTAAACCCAAAGAGCCTGCATAATTGGCCGGCTTTCCCTTGTTATAAGACAGTGCCCCTGTTGTTTGAAGACCATGCATAGTAATCAAATACAGCAGGTTTCTTCTAAGGGCATAACTGCTCTCCTCAAGATCCGCCCCCAACTCCCCTCTAGGCATCAGAACAGTAGCTGACATCAAAACTTGGTATGAACGGACTAAGGACATCTGAGCCTGCTAAGAGAGGAAAGGAATCATATACAGGATCTGTGAGACCTACCTAGCATGTGTTAGCAGGTGGGAGAGTAAACGTAGGAGGGGATCCTAAAGCTGGATAAGGGAGAGTTTGTCAGGATGGGGACACTGTTCCACAACACAAGATAGCAATGCAAGTGCCCTGGGGGTCAGCTCTCGTGTACTTCTAGGATGCTTTGGGAAGCTTAGGAAAAATGATGGTCAATAAATGGAATAAAGATGCCAGAACTGGGGCGCCTGGGTGGCGCAGTCGGTTAAGCGTCCGACTTCAGCCAGGTCACGATCTCGCGGTCCGTGGGTTCGAGCCCCGCGTCGGGCTCTGGGCTGATGGCTCAGAGACTGGAGCCTGTTTCCGATTCTGTGTCTCCCTCTCTCTCTGCCCCTCCCCCGTTCATGCTCTGTCTCCCTCTGTCCCAAAAATAAATAAACGTTGAAAAAAAAAATTAAAAAAAAAAAAAAGATGCTAGAACTGCTAAAGTAGACTAAGTAGGAAATGATTAAGGACTCAGAGAAGAGGACATATTAGAATGATCTATTTTATAAAACCAGAAGTCCTACCAGCTCTTTTGTTCACAGGAACACTGAGGATATACCATTTACCAGGAGAATAAGGAATGCACCAGTGACAGGGACCAATATTATAGAGAAACTCTATTGTGGCTAATTATCTGTAGGCTACATTTTTGGTAGGAGATGCTATTATCAAATGTGGCTGCCTAACAGCAGTAAGGATTATCGAATCCTGGGATAGCAAGGTTAAGTGGATGAAAAATACTAGAGGGCCGGGACTAGGTGATGCAAGAATGTGCCTAGGATGCAAAATCAAAGAAGGCACTCATTCTCGGGGTTTTGCAAATGCCGACCCTCAGAAGGAGTGCCTCTTTAAGAATAAGGCGTGTAAGGCAGCAAGGTTGGGATGCAGGCAGGGGAGAAGACACCCTGACCTGTAGGAATCTCTGAAGAGCGTTAACAGAATATGGTGTTCCTTAGGGTAAGGGTCAGCCCACACAGAATGAAATCTTGCCATTTGCAATGATGTGGATGGAACTAGAGTGTATTATGTTAAGCGAAATAAGTCAGCCAGAGAAAGACAAATACCATATGATTTCACTTATATATGGAAGTTAAGAAACAAAACAGGTGAACATAGGGAAAAGGAAGGAAAAATAAAATAAGATAAAAACATAGAGGAAGGCAAACCATAAAAACTCTTAACTCCTAATCATAAGAAAATAAACTGAGTGTCACTGGAGGGGAGATGGTAGGGGGAAGGACTTAAATGGGTGACAGGTATTAAGGAGGGCACTTGTTGTGATGAGCACTGAGTGTCATATGTAACTGATGAATCACTAAATTCTACTCCTGAAACTAATACTACACTATACGCTATGTGTTAACTAACTTTACTTTAAATAAAATCTTGGAAGAAAAAAGAAAAGTCAAGAATGAGTGATCCAAAGACTGAGATGAGCAACTCCAATAAAAGTCATGATCTCTTGCCCAATTATCTTTTTTGTTTTTCTTCTTGGCAATCTTCTCCCCAGTTCTCAGACTCAAATTAAGGACAGATTCCTATGAGGAAGGACCATGGAACACCACAGCAAGCATATATAGTAGTATTTCTCCAATCCTTCCCGAAAGAAAACTCCAGTGACTGACTTTAGTAATTGTGCACTAGAATCTTTAGAGACGTGTTTTTGATCTGAGCTGTCTCTGAAACCTGGGAACAGAAAGTATCACCATAACCCCAGGGAGCTACAGGAGCCAGGCAGTAAAAGGATCCCTAGTTCCTGTTTATCTCACAATGACCCATTGGGCTTATGGACCCACCTGGTGGTCATTTC